TGATACAAAGAAAATGTTGTCTCCTAGCGTTAAGACAAGCAATTAAGTTTACAATTTTTTATTCTGAGACTAAATTTATAAGACGGAATAAAGGGGTTGCAAGCTGAATAATTGCTGTGTCTCTGTTATTGCTCATCTTGAGGTTGTATCTGGGTTGTATAAGTGGTGTAAACATTCAAAAAGAGTGCTTTATCCAAGAAACTGAGTATTCTTGTATCTCAAAGAAGGGCAATTTTTGTTTGTGTTTTCTCTTCATTCCACACCATATTCTAGCTTAGTACCAGAAGAAATATTGGCATAAGAGAAAAATCAGCATAAAAATAACTATTTTCCTCATACATGGTAATACATATTTCAGTCTCAGTCATAATTGTTAGAACAAAACACTCACCGTTCTTCAGCAGGCAGCAAGTTCTGCTGCACTGTTGGGATGAGACTTCTGAATAAATCTTTAGCACCTGGGCTCCCCTCCGCTGTGATTCCTGCAGGTCGATCAGAAGACCTGGAAACTGTCGGATCCAGCAGTTTTTGTAAAAAGCAGTGGGTGAGCAGAGAGAGCTCGATTCCATGGCCCAGCCCAGAACCAACAGCACTTCTGCTAATGCCACCAACAGAACCATTTCTTCAGTGTAACGGGCTTCGTCACTGAGCTTTGTCCTCCACAGCTGCACTGAGGTTTAGACTAGCATTTTAACGGACAAGCTCTTGAGTGATGAGGATACTGCCAGGGAAATGAGCCGGAGGATGGTTTCTCCAAATTATTCCCATGGTGATGCTTGGGCAGTTGCTGAAAGGAAGCAGGCATATGAGCTACATATGACTATAACAGTTATTATTTGTTCTGCAAACAAATTATTTGGAAATAGATCTTGACAGCCAGTGGACATAGATTGCTTTCAGTCATTCAGAGAGATTATTTCTGTGATCCCAGGTTTGCATCTCCTTCTGAGCTCAAGCTACCCAGGCAGCCTTAATGTTTAGTGAATAGTGGTAAACATGGGAGATCATTGAGTTTCACCTCGGCTCCGAAAGCATGCAGGCCAGCCTCCTGAGAGCAGGTAAGTCTGCCATGTTGTTCAGGCTCACCTTTACATTCCACACACAGGAAGAGGCTCACTTTAATTTCTTGTTATTTTTCAATTATTTAGTGGCTGCAAATGTAATTTCTGCCTTTATTAACACACTAAATTATATAATTCTATCTGTCAGATGGAGATGGAAACTTGTTTCTCTATACTACTCTACTTTGGATATTGAAAAAACAACAAACAAAAATTTTATTGGTGATCTAACAATAGAGGCACATAGCAGGAGGAATCTAACCTGTACTTATTTCTGGACTAGATAGGTAGTTTAGAAACTCTAGATAGGTAAGTCCTGTCCAGAAGGCTCCCATTTCAGAAACGGTTTGACTCATACGTAATACTGTGCCTCATCCTTGGAAGGTAAAGGAGTTCTGCACAAGTTAGCTCCTGGTGATACAATAGCCAGTCAGGCCTTCATTTATTCAGTGGAAGTACTGGCTATAACTAGGATGTCAAATAAATGTCTGCTTTTATCCAGATCGCATGCCCCTGATGTGGTTATTGGTAAATTAAATAGTGAGAGCTTAAGTGAGTTATTGTTTAAGCCTCTGATCTGAGAAACAGCTTCTTGTAGCTGGCCGTGTTTTGGTTTTGGTGTTCTGAGGTGCTCTCTTTTATTTTCATCTCTGTGTGAAAGTTGCTATTTAAAACCTTAAATGTTTTTGAGTACGCCTGTGAGTTTGTGCTCAGAGGACTGCTTAGGGATGTTTTTAGGCATTTACCTATCATTGCCACAAGCATTATGGGCAATGTATTTTTCTAAAACAGCCGTTGCTTCCACTTTCTGAATATTCACAAGGCATCAGTCAAAATGTTAAAATTTTTGCACACTAGACTTACAGAACAAAGTAGATCCAGAATTCATACTAAATGCCAGATTTCAATTCAGACAAAGAAAACTCAAATTTCAGCATTTTGAGTCCTGGTTGCTTTCCTTTATTCCTCTCTTCCCATTTCTCCAAGATGAGAAATCTAAAAGGTTCTGATAACTTGAGGAAACATTACTTGAGGAACAAAAGGATTAAACTGATACAAAACAGACCCACTTATAATGGGAAAAGCTGAATATGTCTTTGATGCTTTGAAATAAATAGGATTATTTGCGTGGTGAAAAAAAAGAGGTAGTCTTGATAGTCATAGTATGTGAATTTGTCATTACATAAAATTATGCTATTATCTCACCTCCTCTATATTTTCATTTATGTTTGACACCTTGCAGGGCTTGTATATAGACAATAAATATGATTACTTCTTTCTTTCCAGGAAAAATAAAAAAAGGGCCAGTCCTGTGACATCTTTCAGTTAGATGGAGCTGATTTACCTTATAACCATAACCTTCTAGTTCAGTGGGGGCTCTGACTAGAAAAAGTTGGAGTAGGGAGTGTAGAAATGCCTGAGTATCTAAGCATCTTGCAGATCTTTCAGTAAGCTTTCTCTGCCTCACAGTTTCAATAAGATATTGAGGTGAGTTTCAAGTACCTGTTACTTCTGGTGAGGCAGTGAGCAACAGCAGTCAGTGAGAATATTCTGTATGCATAATGTTTAAATATATATTTGCAGAACTGAGCTTAGGTAACCAGGCATCATTTGTACAGATCTGTGATTTCAATGTACATTTTAAATCTCTCTTCAGTTTCACACTGTTTGAGGACAGACACATCGCAAGTCTCTGATTCATTTTTTTTTATGAAGAGATATTTTTCATGTTTTTATCATTCTGCATTTTCTGCAGTGTACTTCATCCAACATTTTCCTTTACATTAATTGTAATTCTGATTTTTCTGTTGCTGAATAAATTATAAGAGCATGGATAGCTGCAGAGGAACTTTTTCGTTAACGAAATATAGAGATTGTCCAATATATAAGGCTGCTTCGGGAAATATACTTTAAAAAAATGAGTTTGTCTACTAAGTGTCAGGAGTCTTCTGCCACCTGCCCCATAATTTGACTTTTTTTCCGTGGGAAATTCATAAATATAATTTAATGATGAAGATTTATATCACAAAAAAAAATGCAAGAAGGAAGTATCCGAGTCTTACCTGCAAAGCTGAGACTGGCTGTTCCATGTGCTCTGTAGGGAGGAACCAAGCGACATTTACTGTTAATAAGGCATCTCTGCTCCGTATCAGAGCAGCACTTCATGTTGCTTAGTAATTCTTTTCATCAGACTTCTCAGACTTTTTATAAATTGGCAGTTGCCAGTTTTCTGTGATGACATGAACATCTTTTTGGCTCTTTTATTGAAAGATTTGTAAATGTACCTGCCACAAAGGAGAATGATCTTTTTAACGATACTTGTTTTTTAAACAGAAAACAGTACCTGAAGGTTTCCACCTGGCCTGACCGTGATAATGGCACAATCCAGAGCTTCCTGGCACAAAAGAGTGGCCAGGCATTAACTCCTTTTTTGCCAGTTGTAAACAAATGCAGACATCTTTTCCACATAAAATGCCAAATATCAATGTATGTCTATCATTGTATTTAACTTATATAGAACAAATGGTTCTAGTGCTGTGAGTATGTAAATGCCAGAGAGATGACTGATTTATATAATACAGGAAAGCTTTTCTGAATTGGACTAGCAGTGCAAAGGCTTTGATTCAGTTGTCAGGTCTGACTGTATAGAACTACCTTGCACTATCCCCTTGGCTTGGTTGGTACGTCATCTGTTGCCCATACTGTTCTTGTTCTCTGCTTCTCTCCTGGGTGTCTTTAAGTCCTCTGGCAGTCCTGAGGGATGAATGTGAGACCACAGTCCCCGTCCGGGGTCAAGTTGAAGCTTAGGCCTTAATGCTGCATGATGTGTTATGAAAGACAGTGTTGATATAGTTGCTATTTCCCAAGCAAGTCCAGTCCTGCCTTTTAAAGGTTCTCCTTTATTCTTCTTTGTAGATGGCAGTAAAGCCCGTATGATTGGGTAGACACATGCCTTCCCTTTCCCGAGCAGATTATGGGAGGGATGTGAGATGCCTTCCCAGATGTGCAGATGTGGCAGGAGCAACGCTCTGTGATGCTGCCACGCTGATGCAGAGCTGTGTTGCTTCTAGCACAGACCTGGCCTGCTGGAGCAACAGCAGAGGCCAGCGCTGCATGAAGCGCTTCTTGTCTGCTACACCATCTAAACCATTTCCTTTAACCATCTAAATTATGTCCCTGCCTATGTTGAGCATCAGAGCAAATATGCAGTGTTATTCCATGCAGCTCAGAACCCCTCCTGAATTCAGTGTACTTCTCTGCCTGTGTTGTCTCGTATGTGAAAAAAAAAAATGAATTGCAGGTCTCTGCTGAAATCTTGTGTAGCTCAGTCTTCGTAGGCACGTGCGTGTGGTTTCCCTTTATTATGATAGCATTAAGATCAAAAGTTCACCTAAGCTAAATATTTCGGTAAAGCCAGAATATGTCACTGTGACTTATTATAATAGAAAAGTTACAAAAAAATTAATGTAATGAATCACCGTAAGTACATTAAACAAATATCAAAGAAAACCTTTCTGTTGTTATCGAAATACTCTGTTCATTGTCTCTCTCCTTTAAAATTTCCTTGAAATCAAAACATTCTTGCAAAATGTTTTGAGTCCAACAAAACAACATTTTTTTTGAGAGCACTGTTTTGCAAAAAAACAGCTATTAGTGGTCAGATTTTGGGTTGGAACAATCATCTAGTAAGCTTTTAATGAATATGAACTACTCCAAGGTTTGTGACAGTCAAATCCAAGATTCTGGTTTCAGACCCTTTCGAGCCATATAGCAGAGAGGTGAAACCTTAGTTTCTGCAACTTGGACTTTGTGCAAGCTACTTTTTAAACCATTGTTTCAAAGGGGCTGCCAGGCCCTCACTTTTTTTTCAGAGCGTGGATTCAAACTCGTCTGGTAAAGCTTTATATATCAAAGCTGGAATCTTTGTGTTAAAAAAGAATAACAGAAGAGCTAGCCCTGTTAGATTTATACAACTGTAATTCCCCTGACGTAAACACAAACATAAGCCCAGGTTTATGACAAAGGGGCACAATGTTTAGCAAACACTTTAATGAATGGTGATTTATGACAAAACATGAAACTAAGCAAAAGAAACAGAGTTTCAATTTTGTGATGAATTTTATACAGTTGGGTAATTGGTGAAAGTCTTCCATGTGGGACACCATTTATCTTACCTAGTTATTATGGACTAAAATTCCGTTCTGTCTGTCTGCACCAGGATTAAAAATACAGGCTGCTTTAAAAGCTCACAGTTAATTCTCATCCAAACAGAGCTACACAAGAAAATGCTGGTCCGGGTATGCACAGTGCATTCGTCCTGAACCGGAGATTCAACAGAAGGCAGGCATATATGTCGCTGTGTCCAACATTCAGTATAAAACATGAACAGCTACCAAAGGAATTTCAAAGAGAGCAAAGAGGGCTTGAGCTGGCTTCAGCTTCCATGCTCCTTTTTGGTGACTGGGGATGCCCAGGGTCATGACGGTGAGCGTATACAGAGACCAGTAATGGGAAAGGTGTTTTTTTTTTTTTTTTGCCATTGAACTATATATTGATATTGCTATATTTTACAGTGTGTACATTTGTATTGTGATTTCAGCATATTGCTGTATCACTCTCCTAAATCAAAAATCTCCTTTAAATGAAATGCCTTCAAAATAAACTTCTTTAATATTAAACATTACACTCTGTGTGTGTGGAGTATCTGAACAAGTCTGGTCAGAGTGTGCTGGGCTCTAACAGCCCACTAAGACACAGACAAGTGGAATGGACTTTTTGCTGCTGAGAGTGAGGGTTCAGTAACATGCACTCTAGTATTAATCAGTCATTAAATCTGACTAAAAAGCTAAGCATGGATAAATTAAGTATTTGATAATAAATAATCAATATTCACAAAATACAACTCCCAAGTATTTTATTAACACTGTTTTACACAGTGCTTTTGTTGCAAGAAAATAAGTATGAAATAGTACCTCAAAGACAGAAAAACTAGCCAT